GAAAAGGAATGTTGGAGTTGAAGCTTGTTTGGTCCCCTCAGGAGTATCCTTGAACCCACCGTCCATTTCTCTGGGCTGCAGCAGGGAAGAAGCTCCAATACAAAGGCTTGCACTCAGCATGGAAGGGGAATAGCTGGAGGAAGTGCTCCCTGCAATCAGCCCACAGGAAAATAGGCTCAGCTAACCTCCGGATGGTTGGAGAAGCATCAAGTGAGATAAGGAGGCAAACGAGAGAGGTGCAAAGGCATGATCTAGATGCCAAAAGGACTTTAGACTGTGAAAGGAAGGATAGAGAGGAGGAAACTGGGGAGTAAGCTGTGCAAATTGGTGAATCTTGCAGGTTTATTCACTTGAGGTAGGAATATTGGTGTGACTTTACTAGCTGTAAGGTACTAATTATCCAGTAGTGAAAAATCCAGTTCCCTGGCTTAAAGCTTGGGTGTGCCTTAGTGAGTCTGTGGAGAGTTAGGTACATGCCATTTATCAGAGATTAAAATGGAATTTCAGAGTTTAACCTGTCCAGCAGGCTTCTTTATGTGCAAACTTCAGTGCTCCCTCTTGAAAATGGAAGTTGTGCATCACCAATTGTTGGTTTGGTTTTTTGTTTGTTTTTTTTTTTAATTTAACATTTTGTAATTTAAAGAATTTTAAGAAGTGTTCTAGAAACCTTCGTGGGAGAGTGCAGGTAAAAGCTAAGTCAAAAAAATTATATGAAAGAAACAGACAAATTTGAAGGTCGTAGGTCAAACCCTTGTCAAAGTTAGGGAATGAGGAAGGAAATCCAACTATTCAGATTCCCCTTCAGCAATGGGGTTGTTTGCAGTAGGGTGTATGCTGAGTCCCTAATAAGCAGCTTGGTATTTCCTAGTGATTCTTCTTTGTAGCAGGGAATATGTGCAATTTACCCATCTGCTGTATGCTGTGACTGTGTGTGCTGACACTGCTATGCAGAAACCTGCCTTTTTATAATTCAAATATGAAGGTGTTAAATGAAGCTACCAAACACATCATCTGGTTACTGGGCAGGAGGAGTGTTATATGTTGTTTGGCTTTTCGTATTTCCTCCTTTCCTCTTCCGCCTTTTCCCATTATCCTGAATAACTGAGAGTTGGCTGTGCTGAAAAGTCAGATAATTAAGATTTTTCTGAACTGTCTGCAGGTAACTTACAAAGGCTTTGGTTTTTTCCTTTGTTCCTAACTTAAACTGGACAGTGTAATTGAATTGTGAAGCTCTCCCTAAATGCTAAAATTTCTGTTCATAAAAGCTTTCAACTAAACTGGTTTAACCGCAGAAAGTAAGTGGAATGAAGGATTTCTTTCCTCTGCTGTCAGTTGGACTTGATTTTTCTGTATTTTTTTACTTAGCAGCCAAGAGGATGACTTTTTTGCTTTAAAGCTTAACTGCTCTTTGAAAGAAGGTAAAATAAGGATACAACTAAGGGTGAAGGTTAAATCCTCAAAACCACACTGCTTACACTAGATTTCACTTGCAGCATGACCATGAGGCAAGAACAATGCTTGTGCTTAGCTTTTCAAAAGCTATGCTGTGCACACCCATCACTCATGCCACTGCTAAGATCTTTGCTGTGTGCATTCAAGAGTTAGCAAACAATGTCTGAGTATTATTCTGTTAGGGGGAAATCATGTGGATAAAATAAGAGATTTCTTATGTGCATGAGGATAGCTAATTTTCTTTTGCTAAGTTTCAAGTATGGTATTTAAAAGCAAGCCAGTAGCATTCCAAACATTCTGAACACTTCCCTAAATAAACTTTGAAGAATTCAGGTTGAAGACCTGTTTTCCAACAGCAGTGACACAGGACATAACTGTGCCCTCAGGCATTTTGAGCAGCTAGAGGGCTTCAGACTGTCCAGTCTTTGGTTGTCTAGAGCATGTCCTGAGCATATGGCCTTCCAAAAAGTGTTTTTCCATGTGGACCTAGGGGTCCTTCTGTGACAAAATACGAAAAGTAAGAAAATGAAGTCATAATCCTGTGAAAATTTACACATGCTTATAAAGGGATTGTGGTTCAAGGGATATGAGTTGGCAGCTTCTGAAAGTCTGGAAGATAAATGGCAAAGGTCCTCAAAGAGTTTATCTTAAAGAGAGCTCCTGCCATATGTAAGTGTGTCATCTTTGGAAGGGGCTGCTGGTGGTGTAAGAGCAAGCAGCAAGTCTGGCCTGCATGCTTTCAGAGGAAGCTGATGTGTGCTTGAGGACTTTATGTAGAAGCAAACCCCTGTTCCCTGTGCAAGCAGGGCTGGCCATGCAACAAGGGGAGCTCTTGCTGAAGCATCACTGGGAAGCTTGCCTGATGCCAAGACTTGGAAGAAAGAGCTGGGGATGTCTGTAAGCTGGGAGCAGTGGGTACTTTTTCACTTGTTCATTGCATTCCTAAGCTGGTGTGTGGATATTGACTTTGCATATAGAGTATGGTTTATTGTCTTATCCATATTTAGTAGGTGTCTTTCAAGGTTCACATTATAAAGAAGGCAAAAACCCCTCCATCTTTATTAACAGATATACTTTTAACAGAGAAAAATCTCCTCCACTCCTTACTGTATTTATGGGCACTGCTGGCTGTACTAAATATTATCTTTGAAAACATCTTTGTTTAAACTTAATCCTTACATAACCCTTCAGCCTAGGCTGTGGCATGTGAAATGGGTCTGAAATGTCCTTGCTCTTCATATTTGTGCTACTGTCAGCTTTTGCCTTATTGTTCTTAGTATCCATTAAAGAAACCAGCCCATTCCTTAGTGCTTTGTGTACACTTTGATTCTCCCAAACCCCTGAATTGTTAAGCTGTGCCCCTGGGAGTATGTCTGACAAATGTGTGTGATCTATGCTGCACTCCAGCTAACTTCAGGCAGTGGAGGCCTGAGGAGTTGTTATGAAAGCTGCTTCCCCCTGAGCTGTAGGTATAAGGAGTGTGTTAAAACAAGTCAATTTTCAGAGAATTGAATGTCTGTCTAAATAGCCCCCAAATCAGGTCTCCTCTGGGGAAAAGGAATAGTTTCTTATCTAGTCAGAATCTCTCTCTTCTTTTAATTTTTCCAGGGAAAAGTCAAGGCTGGGAGCAAGTTTTGTAACTTGGCTGAAGCCCAAAAAGAGGATCCTTGCAAGCAGTACCTGTACCCCGTGTCTCCTAACAATCCTAAGGGGTTTGTCTATGCTGTCAGCCACTGAATGGGCTGGCTACCCTTGTGTCTCCTTCAAATCCACACTGAACTAAATCAACTTAGTGGAATGTTTCTCTAGGCGTAACAGCATTAATTTACAACATTCCTGGAGTGGCAGCCTCGGGCCTGTGATAGACAGGATACTTGTAACCTGGGATTCAAGAGACTTGGTAGATAAAAAGAGGTGTGGAAACCATGTCCAATTTTAAAAGAAAGGAGAGAAAAAGTGCTGTGCTCTGAAGCAATCTGTTAGTGGATCAAGAATAAGCAATAATTGATTCCCCCTGCAGATTTAGGTATTCCCCTTGTTTTAGGTATTTCTAACTTCTGTGCTGTTCAGAGACCAGAACTGGACTGCTGACTTCTAGGTGCAGTCTTTGGGGGAGGAAAATACCTCTGGGGAGAGGTAGCACACCTCAGGTGGCTCAGCAAATTTTGTGATAATTGCATGTCCTCTTCCTTCCTCTCCTGGCTGCTGTGTCACCTGACATGCATTGTTCTAAGGGCAGGGAGGGCCACCTTTTAAAAGATACCTTGGCAGTACTTTCAGAAGTTCTTATACTAATGAGGCTTCATTAAATTGGAATAGGGAGGACAGAGCTTTCTTGGCCTAATCAGAAGGGCTTTTGTTGAAGATGGTGCATTGCTTTTTCAGAGCTTTAATTCTGTGTAGAGCAGTGACTCTTGGAGGAGAGCAGCCATCTGTTGGCCTGGAACATAGGCTGGCCTCTTCAATTGAGTATGAACTTAGATGCCATGCAGGAGGTCTGACTTGAGAGGACAGGGCAGATGTACAGAGCAACTGGCTTAGCTTTCTTCACATGGAGTATTCTTTTTCATTCCATGATCTAATTGTTACTGAAGGTATTCTAGCAGGTAAGTCAAAGTATCCATATTCCATTCTGCATGGTGGAAGTTTGCTGAACAAAGCATTGGCTCCTTATCGATGCCCTACATGAATACATGAGAAATCTATAGGCTGTGCTACACACATAGTGGAGAGATTCACTCCTCTCCATCCCCCTCCAAATGAAGCAAGAAACAAAAGGGGTAGACACAGAGTTCATTGTAGCAGCAGCTCCAATACACATGACACTTTAAATGTCATCTTGAAATGACATTTCGAGGCAGGGTGTATGCTGACAAAGAATTTTTCTTTGAGAGAGACTGAAAAGAACCAAATTTTAAAGACAGCCCATTTGTGAAGTATATGAGCACAGTAGTCACATGGAACTAAGGAAAAAATCTTCTTTTCACTAGAATGGCTACCAGGTTTACTGACAAATCATATTCCCTCCCATAATGTATCTACTGTTTTGCCTGAGTAATTGGAAATGTGAGCTGAGGCTGTTTGAGTCGTGTGTTTCTCTAGTCAGTGCTGGTGTATTGCTTTAATCTTGGAAGTATTAAGGATCTGAAGGTTCTGCCTTCCCTAGTAGTAGAGTGCTAAGATGTCCTCTTTGTCTTCACAAGGTACAAAAGAGTACAATACCTGCCTCTACACTTCTCAGATCTCTTTGAGATTATCCAGCATTTTTGAATTTCTGTGGGAAGCTTAGCCAAATAAAAAACCTAATCCCCCTTCAGTCTGCACATTCATTTAACTAAAGAAGCTGTTGCTGAATGGGGTTTTCCTCAGAATTAAAATATTCCTGTTTTCAGGTGTAAAACATTAATTTTGGCAAATTTGTTTTCACGTGAGAGCTTCAGATGTGTAATGGCAAACAGGATACAAGTGTTGAAATGTGTTTCCATGTGGAGTTTTTTTGGTTGTTTTTATTTTATTGGTTGATTTGTTTCTCCAGGGTGTTTTTTGGTTGGTTGGTTTTTTGTTTGTTGATGTGTTTACCATTGGAGGCCTCACAGATTAGAACTGTAGTAGGTTGGTGAAATATGTGTTCTGCTGGGTCTTCATTAAAAGCAAGGGTTCATATTTGTGCTTTCTCGTTTCCCAGCTGTGCTTTGTGTGTTTGTATACAAAGCTGTTTTTGCTGTGACAGTGCCTCATAGGCTGTGGGTGAATCCCTCAGTCCTCAGGTATGAGCAGTGTCACATCCTGCAATTTTAATTGCTGTGCTCTGTCCTGTCAGATCATTATACCTGAGGTTTGCAAGTTGTTTTACATTCCTCCTCGTAATCATGTGTTTGCCTGCTGGCTGGCTGTCAGCACTGCTGTGCCTCTCCAGGTGGCTGGAGAAGCATTTGATTGATTTATCCTAGCTGTCTGCTACAGTCTGCTGTGTCTCAGAGACCTTCTGAAAAGTGGTGGGGGTGTAGGAAGACTGGCTCTCTTGAAGAATTTTTGAAACAAACACTCCAGATGCTATGTCCTCTGGGGCTGTCTTGAAATGGTAAAATTAATTGTAAGCTAGGCAGTCTTCACATTTGAAACATCAGACAGTGAGTGAAGAGTTACTCTCTCTAATACTGCTCCTTTTTGTCTTTCCTGTATGAAAGATTGCTTTTTCTGCTCTTGTTACCTTGAGAACTGTGAATACTTAGTAAGATTCCTAAGTGCTAGAACATGTAAAAGGTTTCTCTTTGTTTCTAACTTTGCCTTTTCTCTCGCCAGGTGTTGTAGGTGTTTGGCTCAACACCTTTTCTTGCTTTCTGTTTTTTTTTTTAGACAAGGTGCTCCTGATCAACCAGATCGTTCAGAAATTTTTAGAAAAGAAACCTCGGTGGGTAAAAGATGTGCCATGGAATGGTAGCATCAAAGAGCAACACAGGATCTTCTCTTGCCTTGACTGGCCATGGGTTATTTCGTCTGCTAGTTATCTTTGGTTCCTTTATCTTGGAAGCACAGTCCACAGGTAGGTGAAACCTTTATATATGCTACAGGGAGGGGGAGGTATGTAAGTTTGGAAGTGGCTGTATATTTTGGGGTGAAAACTGGCAATGGCTGATGTATTTGTACATATCTTCCAGTACTCAGAGGAAAAATTCCATCACTGCTTGTTGAGCAGAGCATGAAGTGTCTGGACTGAATGACTCTTGCATATTTGTCAATAAATGCTTATCTTTTATCTTGTAGTTTTGATTCCCATGGGTTTTTTTCCCCTCCATTCTTATCCCTTCACTGCAGCTGGGGACACTTGGGACATCTCAAGGGCATGGACTGTGTTTTTGTGGAGTGACATTCTCATGTAGACAGTGTTATCTATGTGCCCTGTAGCAACTGCTCACGTGAAGGAGTAGAAGCAGAGATTGTGTCCAGCTCTTTTGCCCAGAATTAATCTGTTCAGCATTTCCTTGTATGCTGTCTTGGATACCTTAACACCTTCTACCTGTGCCCCTCTATTGGATCCTCTTTACAGCTTAAGTTTTCCCTCTCCCCTCATCTCTTGATGTTTCATGGGTGAGTCATGTGAATAGTATAAATAGCAGTGGAATGGGATGATATGAAAAATGTCATCAGAGATGGGAGATCTGCCTTTTAGAAATGAGTGGAAGAAGGAAATGTACTGGATACTCAGAATGTAGTATGTGATGCGAAGTATGTGTTTGATTACCCAGTATACCCTGAAATATGTCTTTTTTTAATCAGACCAGCCATGACCTAGTTTTTGTCTGTAGAGAGATGTCTGGTCATAGGAGGCATAAGATGGAAGGAGAAACTTGGTTTGCTCTTGCAAGAACTTTGAAGGAGTTAATCCCAAAAAGACAGATTTGAGTTGAGCAGCTGTTGTAACATAGAGCATTAGCTTGCCTATGTTAAGAAAACCTCAGTTCTTGACATAACTCTAAAACCTCCTATTTATTTGACATATCATGGCATCTGAGAATGACATGTGGCCAACATTCCTCCAGGAATCAGTGTGTTAGAGCAGAATAAACATTAGCTGCCAAATGCACTCAAAATTGAGGTGATCCTGTATGGAAAAGTCTGCTGGTGCTGAAAACTTCTGGAGAAGGAGTTGATTTCCTTTTACTGTTCTTGGCTCTTTGAGCTGGAAGGGAACTGAAATTGCTGAAATCTTATATCTCAGGCTTCTATGCCTTCCTGACCTGATTTTGGCCTTGTAGGTAATGAGGGGGTGGGGAAGACACCCTTGAGAGCATGACAAATTGTCATGAATAGTTAGTGACAGTGGGAAAGGGACAAGATCTTTTTGAATCTGGGCTACCCATGTTTTTGGTTTGTTTTTTTTTCCAGCCTTGTTGTTGGTGGTGATAGTGTCACTGCCTCATTTCAGATGTAGGCCTGTCAGATACGCCTCCCAGCCTGGGGCACCATCACCATCTGAAACCCCCCGTTTAGCACTGCAGCACCTTCAACTGAGACTGCAGTCACTGTGCAAAAGCCTTGTGCTGCATGGGCTGCTGGGTGGGGAAAAGCTGCCACAATACTGGCAATATTTCTTAATATATTTTTTGAGACATCCAGTCACATTACGAAAGCACTAGTTAGGCATGCCAGAAGACTCAAGACTGATTCTGCATTGTGTTTCCCTTTCTGTGTTCTTTTTGCTTCAGGATCTGAAACCAGTTGTGGTGAGCTGATCAAGGCAGATCATCAGCTAAACAGGATTATAGTGGCTAGGCAGGAAACATTTCCTGCAGGGGAAGTGAGAAAACAGAGGATCGTAGCAGAGGGCAAGACACGCAGGGGAAGAAGTCCTGGGGAAAGGCTTGCTGAGAAGCACTTCCATGTACATTCCAGTTTTTGTGAGACTGGGATGTAGCAACCCAAAAGCCAATTGCTGGGAGGGACGGGGGTGCTCAGTGATGCGTCACGGGCCGGGGAGCTGCACCTGCAGCAGCGTGCCAGCCGTGAGTGACGTTAATGAGCAAGTCAGCTGAGGAGCAGAGAGCAGATGGGGAGACAAAGAGTACTGGTGAAGCGCTTGGAAAATCATCTTTCCCTCATCCTTGTCCCCCAACCACCTCGCCATCCTCACTTTATCATTTTGCATAGCAAAGTCGTTCAGAGCAAGCAGAGTACAACGATGTTAACATGAAGCAAGAGACTGTATTAAACTCGTGATGGTAATGCTTATCTTGAATGTGGAGCCAGTGTGACACGCTCAAAATTGCTACAAAAGCTGAAGAATGTTCTCATAAAAAGACAAGCATGGAGACAATGCCTGGCTCAGCTCTGAGTGAGAAAGCAGAGCCTGTGATTCATATGTATAAAACCATATGAGGTATACTGTATTGCAATCATTTTGCTGCTTAGAAATTCTATTGCTTAAGTTCCAGGAAGCTTAGAGGATATATTCATGATCTGGGCAGGAAGATGTTCTCTTTGCCATGTGGTTAATGCAGAGAGCAGACTCATTTTCAGTCAGCAAGCATCTGCTCTGTCCTCTGGTAATAAATCGATTTTATTTATGCATGGATTTTTAAGGAAAATCCTCAGCACTTTGTCTCTAGCAATCTATCCAAATATCCTCGAGTGCCATGAAATGAATACAAGTTGCTTAGTCACTAAGCATACTGCAGAATTAGGGGAAGCTGTTCCCTTTTCATGGGAAGATATCCATGAATATGAAAATAACCACTGCACACATTTTAACAGAAAACAAATGCAGTGTTTGGTAATGGGCAAGCAGAGAAGCCGTGTCAGAGGAGGAGGATTTATGGAAACTTGAGCACTGCTCTGGAATATTTTTTGAGCTTTATCACTGTTGTAGCGTTTTTCCTTGTCTGGCGAGTTCTCCAAGATTAGTTGCGGGAAAGAGTGAAAGAATGAGCAGGCAAGGAGACTTGGAAAGCTCCTCAGTAATACTGAGGCTTAGTTTTTCATCTGTCTTTTCTGTTTCTTTGAGGGTTCAACTGGAGTTTAGCTAAGAGCTAGGATGCTTAGTAGATAGAGATGGGGAATTTCTGAAGCATTGGAGAGGAGCAATGATAACCTTTTTATCTGCATTTCCACAGATAATGCTTCTCCTTTTTTTTAATGTTGCTGTGACTTGTAATTTTTCCCCCTCTCCCTCCCATCTCTGTCCCTTAAGGCCCTGTATTTATATCTCATTCACAGTGGTCCTCCTGCCTGGCCAAGCTATTTTTGGAAGAATGACAGTGAATCAGATTACATTGTTCATTAAATTTTAACATGTAGTCTGTAAAATACTCTGAAAGCTTCCTATAATTTATGTTTCAAATGTAATCTCTTTTTGGATTCATGACTGGCTCTGTCAGAAACCTATCAAAACAGGTTGGGCCTTTCATTATTGATAAAAGCATCACCTGTTCCTGGGAAATGCAAATATATGTGTTGGTAAAAGTATTAAACATCTCGAATTAAGCAAATATCAATACCCATAAAGGAGAGAGTTTAAATATTAACCTTTAAAAATTAATAGTAATGCAGGCTTGGTGAATCTAAGTCTACTTAGATTGAGACATAGTCTGATTTTTGTTGACTGCACGTGCAAAGTGCTATAAAGTTGGCTCTTTAATTTTTAGGATTGCCATTAAAGTGATAAATTGAGCTTGAATAAACTGAAACTACTTCATTCCTGTGTGTTGTCTGTGACACAAATGCAGCCAATCTGCTGCTTGCTTTTCTAAGGTCTTTTCAGTGCCAAGGTTATTCTGCACAGAAGCTTTGGATACTGCTGGTATTTGTTTGCATTGCACAGAGCAGCTTGTTAGAGCACTTCACTCATTGAGCAGATTCAGACTTGTTCCTATTCTTTGGGAGGTTTCCTTTGTCTCTGATTATGCAGCTGAAGGGAAGGCGTTTATACAGCTAGGGATGAATTCAATGGCCATGAAAACAAGGACACTATAGCACTGGATTGCCAGACAGAAATGTGTAAAGTGTCATGCATGTAAAGATCATCTTGATTCTAACCTGTATGCTTCATGTAAGTGTGGGTTTGGAGAAATTACAGCATCAGCCCAAAGCAGTGTGGCCTTCTTTGTGGAGAGAAGGGGGACCATTTTCAGGAGCAATTCCTCTTCCCAGTCCCTTTGTAGAGCTGAAAAAGAGCAGAGTGGTATGGAAGAGCATGGTGAGGAGCTGCAGAATAATGGCCAGGCTGCAAAGGAAGCAGGAAGCAGATATAGATAGGCTCAGAATTACACTATTCATATAATGATAGTAATATTCACACTGCTACACACTCTGACCCAGGCAGTGTTACTTAAGTAAATGCCTTGAAGGGAGTAACAAGAATCTCAAGAAGCCACGTAAGTTGTTTAATTTTAATGAGTTCTGGTGGCTGAAGAATGAATTAAAGCTTTGTGATGCTTAGCTAACTGCTGGCTTAAACCATGATAGCATAATAATAATAATGAATTTTCCTTTTGTCTGTCCTAGGTTGGCTAAGCAAATCCAAAGGACCTGCATGTGAGTAAACTTAAAATCACTACTGTACTGTGAAAAATGAGTGCAATATTTTACTGGTTAATATGTGTCTGTGAGATAGGATTCCCATTATACTTTTTGTTGTGTTGGATAGGCTTGAGATTCATCTCTATGCCCCATTTTCCTTTTTGATCCCTGGATTTGGGAATGATGGCTGCCCTCAGTTTGAGAGAGGGAGATCAGCTTCATATCTTTCACTGTGCTTGGAAAGGATCCTTATGCCTTCTATAGCATTTAACTTCAAATAACTCAAGAAAACAACAAATCAGAATAAATATTTCATTAAATGCAGAGACATGCTGCTTGTGAGAGTTTTGAGAGGCTGACAGAGTATTGAGAGGACAGGGAGGACAGGCTGAAGTAAAAAAATCTTTCATTTCCTTTAATCAAGGAAAGTGAACATCTCAGCATGATTCTTGATATATTCCATTGGATACTCCTGCTTTTCATTTCATGTGCTCAGAAAAAGTCTAAAGTCTTTCCAGAGTCCATGTTATGGATGCATGCAACTTTGAAAGGAGTTGGGAAGCATATTTGGTTTCCTTATCTCTTCTAAATATGTAAAATGGAATTTTCTGTCCATTTTTGTTCAACTCTGAAATACGATTTGTTTAGTTTGACCTTCTCCCTTCTCTGAAAAAAAACAAAACCAAAAAATCTACAGGACGAAATCTGAGGGGAATGGATTAATGAAGAAGAATTTAGAGGTGTGGGAGGGGAATTTTACCACCTACCAAATTTTGGTCTTCTGAAAGTGGGGGTTAAGAGTTTGGGTTTTTCCCTAGTATTACAGGAAAAGTCCTGGCAGTGGGATAGAAGAGAGTTGGCTTCTTTATCACCTTGTCCCAGATCCTTTCCTGCTTCTGTCCCTTTTGAATCCTTTGCACCCCAGTGCAGCTGAGGTGCTATTTTTTTAGAATGTGTTTTTCATGTTTTTCATCTGTGCAACCCGTGTCTGCCATTGCTTCTCCAGCCCTTATGTTCAGCTGAAGTACCACAAGTAGTTACCAATTCCTGCTCATGCTGCCAGCCGAAGAGATTCTGCAGTGGGATGGCAGAGCAGGAAGTACATTTGCTGAGGAACTGTGGCAAACTTCAGCCTGGGCTGTTACTGCAAATACTGCTGGAATAGCTGGTGTGTGAAGCTGTGGATATGACCTCACCATGCTGACATGGGTGATAAGGAACAAACAAGTGGTAGGGCAAGGCAGGAAACTGTAGACTGAGTCTTCAGCTTTTGTGGCTGAATCTGTCAAGGCTCTGCTAAACCTGGGAATCTGTCTAGATGAGAACTGCTAAAACACTGCTGGTAACAAGCTGCCAGTAGTCAGGAGTGAACATGGTACTAAAGGCACTTGAACAGCAAGCTCAGAAATGTTTGTACCTTTGTGAAAGTAATGGGAACAGGATTATGGTATTGTCAAAGAGGTTGCACCTGCTTATCTGTGTGTGCTGGTCTGCACATAAAAACACATTTTCCTTTTAAGGAGCTGAAACTTCTGGGAAGCATTCATCTTCCCTTGCAAACAGGAGTTCTCGAGGCTCTGCTTCTGCAAAGTGTTGCACTGGAGTTGGAGGACTGCTTCCAGATGTTGTTAAAGGGATTTGAAGTAACCCCTTAGGTGTGGGGCTGCATAGATGAGTTACAGGATGTGCTAGATGGTTGGGCTGGAGCAGGCTTGTTGCTAAACTGTTGAAGAATAAAATGAGCTTTTGGCCCAGCCTAGTACAGTGATCCTTTTATTTTGGAACGGGGAAGGGAACTTCTGGATTTTTTGTACTGAGAAGACTGCCTAATTTCAAGAGGTTGTTGAGATGCTCCCTCATTGCTTATATACTTTGGCATGGGTGGTGCTGGGTGGAGATGCCTCTTGTGTACCTTCTCTATAGGTCCAATGCTGTAAATGCAAAAATGAATGTGTTTATCTACCTGGCACAGTAAAAAGCATTTCAGTGGGAGCAGAAGCCAAAGAATTGAACAGTAGGATAACAAAAGAGCATATTGAAATCCTGTGGGCTCAGCATTTCAGGTCTAGCAAGTCATCTTAATTCAACTGGGAAAATATTTCTTGTTTGAGAGCAAAAAATCACCATTGCTGCTGCTTTTGAGATACATCTTTTACTTTGTCAGTAAAGGGAAAATATGTCTTACTTGAAAAATGTTGCCTTGCTGTAGAGTGAGATAAGCACCTCTGGTGGATGTTGTCTTGAGTTTTCAGCCCACAGACAGGGAAGTGTCTTAATTAGAAAGTCGAATGCTGCTGCTGCATTTCTGGCTAGAAAGAACATTTTCTATGTCCTGAGAAAAAGACCAACATGGTGTGTAAAGAATTTTGTGTCAGACATATCCTTAGACAGTCATAAAACTGTCCAGAAAGAGAATAAAACTTTTTTGTGCTCTTACCAATATTGTAAGGGAAATGGGGATTTGTAGGAAGGTGGTAGAAGAGATCGAATGTGAATGAGGATCACTAGAGAATAAGATTCTAGGAAGGAGAGGAGGGGGACTGTTTCCAGAGGTGGAGTTGTGAAAAAGATCCTAGTGGTTTATAAAGTAAATTAGTGGCTTGGTGGTGAAGTAGTGCAAATCCTAAAAGAAGGTAGTGTTTTATTTATGCAAGTAGATTAGAACAGTTGAGAATAGTATGGCCTTGGAAAGGAGAACTCTAGTAGAAAAACATATGTGTTTATTTTTTTAAGGGTAGGTCAGAATGTTTTAATGCAGGAGGATGCCTCTACAACATAAGGGTTTTGAAGCTTTTCTGTAGGCAACAGAATTGGCTTGTGAGACACTGACAGAGTTTAAGGATTTAAAGGTTATGAAGTGGGTGTGCTCTCCAGGGACTGAAGCTTCAGTGCAGAAATCTGAGGCAGAAGCAGATCAGGGTGAAGATGCCAGTTACAGGAGTGCTGGCTGTGCCTGTCATTGAGTACTCTAACATTGTGGATGGTGATCTGGGGGGTGAGATTGTGAAAGACCAGATAGCAGTTTTCTGTGAAAGATGATGTAGGGAGGAATTTCAAGTGGAAGTTGCTGCCATATTTAGAATAGCATCTGACTTTCTCAAAGTTCTGCTTTTCCTAGTTTGTGTTCAGTTTAATAGTTAAAAGCTGCTTTGCTCTTCCCCCTATCCTGCATTTGTTTGGCTGCTTCACCCCTGTAAAGGAATCCTTTTTGTAAAGAAAATAAACATACCAAAGGTACCTAACCCTAGATCCTTGTCAGCACTTCTTGCTGATGATGATCCCTTCCAGGTGAGGGTCTGTATGTTACTGTAAGTGTGGAATGAAATTATATTAGAGTGGGTGTCTTCTAGTCCTGCCTTTATTCTGGACCACCAGCATCCTGGAGACTTAACCTCCAGGAGACCTGGGTGATGCTGCAGAGGCCTTTAGCAATGTGCTTCTGGTGTGTCATAAAAAACTCACAGCTGTTGATATATCTCTGTCATGGAGGAGAGAAATGTGGATTTCTAACAGTTTCCTTGTGCCCATTCCTCTGGTAACTTCAGAGCAGCTATCGTTGAATCTCGGAGCCCTGGGGATGCCCCTGCTGTGTAACCTGTATCCAGTAGTTCAAGTTTGGGGGCCTGCTCGTGTGCTTTTTGAAAAGGACCCAAACTCTACGAGTTGTGTTGAGCCATGCTTTGTGCTGCAGCACATCTTCTCTTTTGCCCAGGCAAAGTATATAAAGTACCTGTAATGTTCTGTATTATCCTAAAGCTAGGATATACTAAGGCTTCCATTCTGTCGCTGGTTTTGCTTTCCCTAGCAAAAGTAACAGTTGAATGTGCCTGGAGAGCAACCTTCAGGTTTCATTGTAAACATTTTCTTTGGTGTAGATGACTTAGGTTGTAAGATACTAAGAAAAGGTAAAAGCTTTATCATTTGCCTGTTTGCATTCAGCTGTCACTTTTCCCTCAAATGAGGAAATTACTAATTTTTCATATGTAAGCTGAGAAATTTGAATAAAATCACAAGCGGCAAGGTATATGCCTTTAAGAGCAAGTCTTAGTGAAACCCATGAAGGTGGTAGGTTTGTTTTTTTTACACTTTTATTGTTTCAGTCCTCCAGTTCTTTTCCTTTCCCAGCAAACTAGTCTTGCTGCAGATATTACTGTCATTAGCCCAAAGCAGGGTTGACCTTTGAGCCTTCTTACGTTGAATCGCTTTATTTGCATTTACTTCTCAAATATTTAAATGTTACCTTCAAGCTGACAGTTCGTGCTTTGATGGTGATTGTTTCCTCCATGGCATTTAGTAAGCTGGACTCCACTTTCAGAGCAGTTCAGGGAAGATATACAGTGCTGGAAGAGCTGAGCTATCCTGGTACAGGTTCTTCGTAAATTTTTGTCACTGGTAGTGAAACACAGAGGCAGATGACAAGAGTGGCAGCCAGGCGCTGTTAGCACACTTGTGCTGTGTGGGAGAGGAGGTGTGTGCAGTGCTGGCCAGATCGCTGTCTGCTGGCATAAGCCGTGCCTCTGCTGGGCACGCACACTGCGAGTGCAGTGTGGGGGCTGTGCTGAAAGAGGGTAGCTCCTGTGAGAAGCTCTGCCTCCTCTTAGCACCCTGGAGAACTGACTGCCTCTTGGCACATGCCTCCCTCCAGCTGTGGAGACTCCTCAGGGCTGGAGCACCTTTTCAGAGAACTGGAATTTTTTGTTTTGTTGTTTTTTGATTTATTTTTGGTTTTGTTTTTTAGTTTGTTTGGTTGGTTTTGTGTTTTATATTTTTCCTGTCAATATTGTCTTGGTCATGTCTTTAACCAGATCTTTCCAGTCATGAACTTATCCTGTATATGAGTTGAGTCTTTGGGCAGGCAGTGGTATGACTGCATGGGGGAAAAGAACATTGCAGCCTGTCCGCTGGGACATGGGTAGGGCCACTTTTAGCATCCTTGATTCTTGCTGTTAGTAAAACAGAGGTTGGTATAAGCTGCTAACTAGGGGTGTTGTGAAGAGATTCATTCTCTGACTACA